TCTGAACGTTTAACTCAAGTCCAACAAAGTATCATGTCTGGGACTGTTCCAATTTTTGTTCAAAGATGTTAGTTTTTCAAACTTAATTGTTCTTTTGTCTTACTGGAAACCTGGCAGAAGGTAGCTATTTATAGGCATGTCTTAGAGATATTGTGGAGTTTGTTCCAGACCACCACAATAAAGCTAATATTGCAGTAAAGCAAGTCTCACAATTTTTTTGGTTTCTCAGTGCATGTAAAAGTTGTATTTATACTGTACTGTAGTGTATTAAGTATGCAATAGCATTATATCTAAAAATATATACATACCTTAAGTGTAGTGTATTACAAAATCCTTTTGCTAAAAAATGTTAATAATTACTGAGCTTTCAGCAAGTTGTAATTTTTTTGCTTGTGGCGGTTCTTGCATTGATAATTGATGGCTGCTGCCTGATCAGAGTGGAAGTTAATAAAGGCTGGGGTGGCTGTGGCAATTTCTTAGAAAAAGTCAAGTTTGTTGCAGCAGTTGGCCTTTTCTTTCAGAAAAATTTCTCTGTAGCATGTAGTGCTGTTTGATAGCATTTTATCCACAGTAGAACTTCTTTCAAAATTGGAGTCGTCCTTTCAAACCCTGCTGCCTTTTAATCAACATGATGTTGTAAATACTTAGTTGTCATTTCAACAGTGTTCACAGCGTCTTCATCAGGAGTAGATTCCATCTTAAAAAACCACTCTTTGCTTCCCTCTAAGAATCAGTTCCTCATCTGTTCGAGTTTGATCCTGAGATTGCAGCAACTCAGTCACATTGTCAGACTCCACTTCCACTTCTCTTGCTATTTTCACCACATCTGCACTGACTTCCTCTTGAACCCCTCAAAGTCATCCATGAGGGTTGGAATCAACTTCTTTCAAACTCCTTTTGATGTTGCTATTTTGATCTCCCATGAATCATGAGTGTTCCTGCTAGTATCTTGAATGGTGAATCCTTTCCAGAAATTTTTCAATTTACTTAACTCAGATCCATCAGAGAAATCACCATGTATGGCAGCCTATTGCCTTATTAAATGTATTTTTTAAATAACAAGACTTGAAAGTCTAAATTGCTCCTTGGCTCATGGGCAGCATAATGGATATTATCTTAGCAGGCATGAAAACAACATTCATCTCTTTGTGCATCTCTATCAGAGCTCCTGAGTGACCAGGTACATTGGCAGTGAGCAGTTATATTTTGAAAGGAAACCTTTTTTTTTCTTTTTTCTCTGAGCAGTAGGTCTCAACAGTGGGCTTAAAATACTCAGTAAACCATGTTGTAAACAGATGTGCTGTTATCCAGGTTTTGTTTCAGTTATAGAGCACAGGCACAGAAGATTTAGAATAATTTTTAAGGGCTCTAGGATTTTTGAATGGTCAGCAAACATTGGCTTCAACTTAAAGTCGCCAGCTGCTTTGGCCTCTACCAAGAGAGTCAGCCTATTTTTTTTAAGATTTAAAGCCAGGCATTGACTTCTCTTCTGTAGATATGAAAGTCCTAGGTGGCATCTTCTTCTACTAGAAGGCAGTTTCATTTACATTAAAAATCTGTTGTTTAGCCACATTTCTCAATTTTCTGACCAAGATCTTATAATAACGTGCTGCAGCTTCTACATCAGTACTTGCTGCATCACCTCACCTTTTTTTTGAAATGGAGTCTCGCTCCGTGGCCCAGCCTACAGCACAGTGGCACAATCTCAGCTCACTTCAACCTCCACCTCCCAGGTTCAAGAGATTCTCCTGCCTCAGCCTCCTGAGTAGCTGGGATTACAGGCATGCACCACCACTCCAGGCTAATGTTTGTATTTTTAGTAGAGATGGGGTTTCACCATGTTGGTCAGGCTGGTCTCGAACTCCTGACCTCCTGATCTGCCCACCTCGGCCTCCCAAAGTCCTAAGATTACAGGTGTGAGGCCTCTCACTTTTATGTTACAGAGACAGCTTCTTTCCTTAAACCTCACCAACTTGTGCTGGCTTCCAACTGTACTTCTGTAGCCTCCTTACCTCTCTCAGCCTTCGTAGAAGTAAAGAGATTTTGAGCTTTATTCTGGATTAGGCTTTGGCTTTCGGGGATATTGTGGCTGGTATGATCTTCTAGACCACTAAAACTTTCTCCTATCAGCAATATGGCTCTTATACTTTGTTTTCTTAGTGTGTTTATTGGCGTGGCACTTCTAATTTCCTTCTTGAACTTTTCCTTTGCATTAACAACTTGGCTGTTGGGTGTAAGAGGTCCAGCTTTTGACCTGCCTTCCTCACTAAGCTTAATCATTTCCAGCTTTTTTTTTTTTTTTTAGACAGTCTCACTCTGTTGCCCAGGCTGGAGTGCAGTGGTGCAATCTCAGCTCACTGCAACCTCCACTTTCCAGGTTTAGCAATTCTCCTGCCTCAGCCTCTCAAGTAGCTGGGACTACAGGTGTCTGCCACCACACCCAGCTAATTTTTGTATTTTTACTAGAGATGGGGTTTCACTATGTTGTCCAGGCTGGTCTTGAACTTCTGACCTCAAGCAATCCACCGATCTTGGACTCCCAAAGTGCTGGGATTACAGGCATGAGCCAATGTGCCTGGCCCATTTCTAGCTCTTGATTTAAAGTGAGAGATATATGACTCTTCCTTTCACTTAAACACTTTGAGGCCATTGTAATTGGCCTACTTTCAATACTGTTGTGTCTCAGGAAATAAGGAGGCCCAAGGAGAGGGAGAAAGATGGAAGAATGGTCAGTTGGTGAATCGGTCAGAACACATACAACATTTATCTACTCAGATCACCATCTTATATAGGTGCAGTTTGTGGTGCCACAAAACAATTATAATAGTAACACTGGAAATCGCTGATCACCACAGATAAAATAATGAAAAAAAAGTTTGAAATATTGTGAGAATGAACAAAATATGACACAGACACAAAGTGAGCACATGCTGTTAGAAAAATGGTATTAATTCCTTTGCTCAATGCAGGGTTGCCACAACTTTCAATTTTTTTAAAAAGTGATCACTAAACACATAGTACTTACCATTTCAAAAAAAATATTTCAATGCACATTTTTTTCCTGACATAATGTTCTGGTTTATAAGGAATCTTGTTATTAGTAATTGAGTTATTTATTAAATGCCTTTTTCCCCAGGCATTAGGTTGTCAAATTACTTTCCCATGGCTAATCAGCCTGGGCTTGACTCAACTTGCATAATGGTCCTCCACTCCCCTAGCTCTCCAGGACGTGCTCCGATCCCATGAGCCTGCAGGTCTTTTCTTACCAGCCAGGACCCATTCCCAGTCCCTTCAGTGTTGCTAACCAGCCCCTCAATTTCTCTGACCTTAACCTTTTCATCCTTATTCTGCCAGCCCCTTAGGTTAGATGAGTTCTTAATTTCTTTTCTCCCAAAATTTTTATTTTCTGTCCTGAGCAGAGGCATCCGATTGCTCCACATTGTTTAAATGTGCCAGTCAGCTTCTCTTCCATTCCCTGCACAGCTGTCCCTGAACAGCTAGGCCTCAAGGTTGCTACTCTTCTCAAGCCCCATAGCACAGACCTTCTCGGTTCACACAGGACTTCCTGCCGGCCCTATCTAGACTCTAGAGCTCTCCTGTCCCCACTACCCCTCTTCAGTTTTCACTGTTGTAGTTTTATTCATTCCTCTGTCCTCATTCCTTTGTCTGGGGGAGAGCCGCCCTGCCTTTCCGGTGCCAACCTCTTCATCAGTGCTTTAGAGTTCTGCTTCAGCACTAAACAAAAACACAAACCAACTAAATTAAGAGTTTAATATTTTTATATTAGTATTTAAAATTGTTTAATGTTAAATAACGTTTGGTTTTGAGAAATATTTCATTTTAATAAATGTTTTTTATTAATATTAAATAAAGGTGATCAGTTTGGGAGGATCACCTGACCAGAAGGTTGAAGCTGCAGTAAGCTGTGATTGTGCCACTGCACTCCAGCCTGGGTGACAAAGTGTGACTCTGTCTCAAAAAAAAAGAAAAACAACACTGTTTGCAGTAACAAAAGTTAGAAAGCACTACCCTTTAACAGAGAGCTGATTAAATTATGGTATATTTCTTATCGGTGGCAATTAAATAATTTGTTTAGTTTTAATAAATATTAACTAATTTTATTAAATATTAACCTTATTTTAGTCAATATTGCATATTTAATTTTAATATTAAATAAGTAACACATGCACATGGTTTTAAAAATTGAAGTAGTATAAAATAATCTACAGAGGCTACTGTTAGATTGATGCCAGTTTGTGTGTATACATTCTGACAGAGATGTATTCTTCCATAGATGATACATGCATAAACAAGTATGTACATCCATGCATTTCTTCTCTTCCTGTGTCCTCCTTCCACTTTATTTGAACACAAATACTTTTTTTTTTTTTGAGATGGAGTTTCGCTCTTGTTACCCAGGCTGGAGTGCAATGGTGCGATCTCGGCTCACCGCAACCTCTGCCCCCTGGGTTCAGGCAATTCTCCTGCCTCAGCCTCCTGATTAGCTGGGATTACAGGCACACGCCACCGTGCCCAGCTAATTTTTTGTAGTTTTTAGTAGAGACGGGGTTTCACCATGTTGACCACGATGGTCTCGATCTGCTGACCTCGTGATCCACCCGCCTTGGCCTCCCAAAGTGCTGGGACTATAGGCTTGAGCCACCGCACCTGGCCTGAACACAAATACTATCTATACACTGTCTGGATACTGCTTTTTAAATACATTTCTATGTTTTGGAAACCAATTTATATTAGTACTATAGAAACAATTTATATTAGTACTATTCTTTTAGTGTAAAAAATATGCCATTTTTTTTTTAGACTATCACCCAGGATGGAGTGCAGTGACCTAATTATAACTGACTGCATCCTCAACTTCCTGGGTTCAGATGATCCTCCCCTTTTAGCCTCCCAAGTAGCTGGGATTACAGGTGCACTCCACCTCACCTGGCTGATTTCTTAATTTTTTTGTGGTGATGAGGTCTCACTCTGTTTCCCAGGTTGGTCTTGAACTCCTAAGCTCAAGTAATCCTATAGGCGTGAGCCACGAGCCTGGCCCAAACAGTGTTTCAGTGAGCATCCTTACAATGTAAGTCTTTGTGCCCATATACAACTTTATTGGTATGAAGTCTTGGAAGTAGAATTGCTGGATTAAAGGGTGTCTGCATTTTCATCTTCTGAAAAGAGAAAAATTCTATCTATATCTTGTATTATTACTGTTCCAGTCTGTTTATGCATCATTGATTTCTTAGATGTGTCTTTAGTGTCTGCTCTTTTTAAAACATTCAACTCTTTATTTCTTGTGAGTTCTGAATTTCTGAGACATTTTGCTTCAGCATTCTACAGTTCATAGTTCCCGTGATCACTGAATTCCTAAATGTTATACTCATTATTTGTTTCTAAGAACACTTTACTGTTCTCATATTGTTCTCCTCCCAAGTGTACAGGCCTTTTATTTTTTAACTTTTTATTGAAGGATTACATATCTAAAAAGACACACAAATCTTAAGCGTTCAACTTAATGAATTCTCAAAAAGTACACCTTATGTAACCAATACTTAGGTAAATAACCAAATTATTACCAGCACCTTGGAATGTCCTTTGTGCCCCTTACAGTCTCTCCAGGGGTAGCCACTATCTTTACTTCTAACACCACAGATTCATGTTGCCTGTTTCATTTTAATTTTATATAATTGTAATTATACATACTGCTTCTACCTTCTTCTGTGTAACATTCTTCTGTGTAACAAACAAAGGACGTTTGTTCTCACTGATATTCATTGCATGACTATACCACAATCCATTTGTTCATTCTACTGTTGGTCACCTCAGTGTTTCTAGTTTTGGGCTATCATGAATAGCACTGTTATGGAAACTTTTGTTTGTGTGTTCTGGTGCACATGTGTACACATTTTTGTTGGGTGTATATAAACATAGAGTACAATTGCTGTATCATAGGGCATATATATATATATATTTAACTTCTAACGTGACAATTTTGCACTTCCGTGAGAGTCCTGATTGTTCCACATCTTTGTCAGCACTTGGTATTTTCTTTTTCATTTTAGTCTTTTTGATAGGCACAAAGTAGTATTTCATTGTGCTTTCACTTTTCATATCTCATTGTTGTTGTTTTTGGAGATGGTATCTCTCTCTGTCACCCAGGCTGGAGTGCAGTGGTGGGATCTCAGCTCACTGCAATCTCCACTTCCTGGGTTCAAGTGATTCTCCTGCCTCAGCTTCCTGAGTAGCTGGGATTACAGGTACATGCCACCACACCCAGCTAATTTTTGTATTTTTAGTAGAGATGGGGTTTCACCATGTTGGCCAGGATGGTCTTGATCTCCTGACCTCGTGATCTACCCGCCTTGGCCTCCTAAAGTGCTGGAATTACAGGCGTGAGCTACTGTGCCCGGCCTCACTCTTTGTATCTCTGAACCACTCATGCATTGAGCACATTTTCATGTTTATTGGCCCATTGGATATCCTCTTTTGTGAAGTACCTATTGAAATTTACTTTTCCATTTTAAAATTATTTTTAAAACATACATTTGGCTAGCTGTTATGCCACATTTTGACAAAATTCTTTTGTCTCTCTCTTCCTATTTATCCTTTTAAATTTATTTTTGTGGCTTTTCTCTCACCTTTTCTTTTCTAATTAGTGAACTTTAGAGCCACTAACTAATCCTAACCCTTCTAGAATTTCTAGTGCTTTGCATGAAACTTACTTTGAGAAAAAATTGGTGCTCAAACTGGAAAATAATGTCATTCCAAGAAGGGAAATGATTTGATAAATACTAAGTTCTCCTAGTTTTTTGTCAGCTAGATTGCATTATTATCCCCATATTTAATTTTCATTTTAGTTTTATTTTTGACAAGAGTTTGTTAGAACTGAGAGTCTTTTAATTTGCATTTTAAGTCTGGAGCCTCCTTTTTAAAAATATATAATGTTTTATATTTAATATATTTATTAAAAATGTTTTACAGGTTCTTGATCACTATGAACAAGAAGGATTTAATTTCCTAGCCAAGGTGTTTAATTCTTCACATTCCTTCTTAGAAGACTTGACTGGTCTTACATTACTGCATCAAGAGACCCAAGCTGCCGAGGTAAGAACAAAACAAACTTTAATTAGTGAAGACTAACATGCTTAAAACTATTCGATATTCAGCATATGGAAAAGGAGAAAGCAATTAATTTTAATTTTTGTGACTTAAAGCAAATATTACTGAGTAAATGTGCTAGTTACCAGAGGACAAATAACCTTCAGCAAGTGCTGGATACTGATGTGTGTAGGTTGCTGTCCATTTGGTGCCTAATGCACAGAATCGCTGTGATCAAGGAAGTAATGGTTGTAGATTTCCAGGTACCTCTTGTCCTTACTGAAGATCTGCATGTGTATAGTCATTGGAGAGAGTTGGCTTTAATGTCTGTCCATATATCAAAATGTAAGTTGGTGAAAACATTTGACTCCAGCTATGTACCTTAGAAAGACAGTATTGGACTCTGGCCATGTTCTTCAGAAAGAACGTGCCTGGCTTATTTTTCATGATTTGATCAGTCTTCTTAGACCCTGAAGCCCACCATGAAATGGCTTCCCCAACACAACCCAAGAGAGCTTTGCTTTGTTTCTCCGCTAACATATTTTATAGATCTTAATTTCTGGGTCATCGCATTATTATTTTTTTTTTTTGAGGCTGAGTTTAAGAAATAAATTATCAGCTGGGCACAGTGGCTCACGCCTGTAATCCCAGCACTTTGGGAGGCCAAGGCGGGTGGATCACAAAATCAGGAGTTTGAGACCAGCCTGACCTTGTGATAGTGAAGCCCTGTCTCTACCAAAAAAAAAAAAAAGTTACCTGGCTATGGTGGTGGGTGCCTGTAATTCCAGCTACTTGGAGGCTAAGGCAGTTCAATCGCTTGAACCCAGGAGGTGGAGGTTGCAGTAAGCCGAGATTGTGCCACTGCACTTCAGCCCAGGTGACAGTGCACAACTCTGTTTGGGAGGGAAAAAAGAGAAAAGAAATTATCACTTTTTTTTACTAAGTGCTCACTGTTCTTAGAAAGAAGGAATACTGTTTATGGTGGTAGAGCTATTTGGATCACTTGGCAAAATATGCAATTCCTCAGAATTGATGAGTGAGAGTAAATCAACATCTTTTCTTCTTAGTTACCTGGGTGAAGAAGCTGTGAGGAGAAATGTAGCTTTGACTTCCTGTGTCCTGCCAGGGTAATGCACTTGCCATTAGTTCTATTCAAGTTGCAATTCTTGTCACCAACTAAGGAGAAACATGTAAATTATTTCTAGTTAGGTAGCAAAACTCCCCCAACCATCGGGTTAAATAACTTCATGGTTACATAGATCTATAAACTCCTCCATAGGTTGCATATCCTCACCACTGGGGGAGGCCCAAGTTTTCGATGAATAGATGGCCAGGCCCAATACTGGACCAGCCAGTGGTGAAAGGCCTGTTGTTTGGAGAGTGAAGCTAGCACTGAGTATAGGAAAACCATTTGGAAATACCAAAGTCAAACCCCTGGGAGCTTTGAGCAGATTGTGAGATTTTCAAGTACACCAGGGAGGCAAGCTAGTACCTCTCTAGTGCTGGACTTAGAACTTAAGGAACTTGTTTTGGTGTCCCCTGGGCATTAAACAGATATGGGGGGGGAACCATTATAATAGATTCAGAGTTTGTTTTGGGTGCGGATTGAAAATTTTCTAAACTGAGAGAGTGGTAATAGTTGCACAACTCTGTGAATATACTAAAAACCATTGAACTGCACACTTTAAAAAGGGGTGTGTGTGTGTTTTCTCTGTCGTGGCCCAGGCTGGAGTGGTGCGATCTCAGGGTCACTGCATGGCCAATAGTTAGAGCCACAGAGAGTGTATCTCAAATTTCAGGAGATGAATGGCATCTCTGCTGCTTTTTGAGAGACTTTGAGATATTTTTCCACTGAATTGTGATTGGGTTCCCAGGCAGGGTTCAGAACATAGTGTTTATTGTCTGCTATATTGTCTTTTAAGCAGTGCTATACTGCCTGATGGTATGGAAGAAGTAACATAGATGTTTGCAAACATGGAATCATTTGATGAGATGGCTAAGGAAGTTTTGCCACCCAGCTAGAAGTAATTTACATGTTTCTGTTAGCTAGAAGAATTTCAACTTGAAATTGACCCAATTTTTCGCTCTTTAAAACAGAGCAGATGCTAGAATAGTGGGCAGATGTCTAGATTTAACCTTGCGTATCTTACATTTTAGTTGGTCAAACTTTAATGGCTTTTTCGAAGACTTAGAAGAGGAAGTTTAAGAGCAATAGTGACTGAATAGATGGTGGAGCAGAAGGGGGCATGGTTTCATCCACAAGCCTGAGTTTTCTTTTTGAACATCTTTTGGAAAATATGATACTAAGCCCTGTGCTAATAACTGAATAGAGAAGTTAATGAGATACTGACCCTCATGGGCTCATAGTCTAGTGTGAGAAGCTGAGAAGCTCACTATTTAGTGAGCTCTAATACAATAAAAAATGTTTTAGTCATCTGTGTATTAAGTGCTGAGAGAACAGTTACTTCTGCCTAGGGGAATAGGGATGTCAAGAAAAGCTTCACAGGAAGAGATTAAATATTCACCTGGTTTTCAAAAAATGAGTAGACTGTTTTTAAAAACAAAAGTTGGATTTTTGTGGAGGAAGAGTAGAAAAGGGAAAGGCAAGAAGCCTAAGGCGTTCTAGACTGAATAAAGGCCTCTAAGGCCAAATCTTTAGTATTACTCAAAATCATGAGTAGTGTGATGTACTTGGAGCCAGTTTCCTGAAGTCAACATAATGTTTTTTTTAATAACAGCTTTATTGAGTTATAATTCACATACCATAAAACATCATTTTGTACAGGCACGGTGGCTCACTCCTGTAACCCCAGCACTTTGGGAGGCTGAGGTGGGTGGATCACCAGAGGTCAGGAGTTCAAGACCAGCCTGGCCAACATGGTGAAACCTCATCTCTACTAAATATACGAAAATGAGCCAGGTGTGGTGGCAGGTGCCTATAATCCCAGCTACTCGGGAGACTGAGGCAGGAGAATTTCTTGAATCTGGGAGGAGGGGGCTGTAGTGAGCTAGATTGTGCCATTGCATTCCAGCCTTGGTGACAACAGTGGGAGTGGGGGTGGGGACAAAACACACACACACACACACACACACACACACACACACACCTTTTGAAGTGTGCAGTTCAATGTTTTTTAGTATGTTCACAGAATATACTAAAATTACCACTCTCTCAGTTGAGAAAATTTTTATCCCCCTGCCCAAAACAAACTCTGAATTTAATGGACTTCCCATTTTCTCCTCTTTCCAGCCCCTAACAAGCACTAATCTTTCTGTCTGTCTGTATGAATTTTTCTATTCTGGACATATCACTTAAGGTCTTTTGTGTCTGGAATCTTTTATTTAGCATGTTGTTTTTAAGGTTTATCCATGTTGTAGCAAGGTATGTAATTGTTTTTTATTTAAAGAAAAACATTTCAATGCTATTAAAGATTTTCATATTCTTTGCACCTGTGGTCTGTCTCGCCAAATATAGCCCCTTCATGAAGGAGGAATGCAGCAAAACTGATCCTACTAGAGACTACAGATTGCTTTATATTAATAGAAAGGGACATATAATTAGTAATGGATTGGAAGCTATATCCAAATAGAATCATCTAGATTTAGTGAGATTGACTAATGCGGCCCAATTTTTTGCACTCATCTCCTGTCCATCATATATTTGAAAATGATTGCAATGATTTTAAACTAGGTTACTGGTGTAATCATTCTGCTGTTGAGATTAGCAGGCAAATTACTATGTAGGTTTTTATCGGAGGACAGGGTGCAGAGTGGAGACTGGGAACCAGGCTTACAAAAATGAGTTTGTTTTAGGTAGTGATGACTTTGAGGTAATGGGATAAGTGAGTGAAAATGGCTGGTTGGCACTGAGGATGGGAGGGAGATGGAGCTTGGAGAAAAAGCATAGCACTGGTAAATTGTTTTAGCTAGACAAAGAGATTTATCCTATTCCATTTAGCACAGTGAGGAGAAGCTGGAGAGCTAGGATGCAATACATTTTTTTTAAATGAGAAATGTGTGTGGTAGATTAATTTTGTCTCAAGTTATAGATTAAAAAATTTAAATACCACGTAAATGCCATTTGCCTTTGCTAATGTTATATTTTATGAAGAAGGGATCTTGCATAAGAGTGATGTAATGGACTTTGGGGACTTGAGGGAGAAACTTGGCAGGGGGGTGAAGGATAAAAGACAATATGCTGGGTGCCATGTACCCTGCTCAGATGACAGGTGAACTAAAATCTCAGAAATCACCATTAAAGAACTTCACCATGTAACCAAAAATTACCTGTACCCCAGAAACTATTGAAATACAAAAGAAGGGGACTTGGACATATACCCATATTCTTTGTCTGTGACTCATTTGGTTGCCAAATTATAGTTACATTCTGCTCATGGGGGATTAGGAGTTTCCATGGAAGAAAGGCCCCACTCACTTTCTCCCCTCTTAAAATGTTGCCTTGTGAATTAGAGCATTTTGCATCAAGTTCTGACCTTTACTTCCAACACCTTTACTGAGAATGGCTTTGGATACTTGGAGGTCGATCCTGACTTCCTATTCCTCCTAGATCTTTATTTATCTTACTTGGAACCCAAGGAAATGGCCTTCAAGTTGATGAACCATGGAATGTCCAAGTCATGGAACTGTTGTGGTTCTCACAAGTATCTTTTAAGTTGCTGCATTTGGGATGAGCACAGTGGCTTACACCTGTAATCCCAGCACTTTGGGAGGCTGAGTTGGGAGGATTACTTGGGTCCAGGAGTTTAAGACCAGCCTGGGCAAGATGGTGAGCCTCTGTCTCTATTTTTAAAAAATTAAAAATTAGACAGGTATGGTGCACACCAGCTACTTGTAAGGCTGAGGCAGGAGGATCACTTGAGCCAAGGAGTTTGTGGCAGACAGTGAGCTATGGTTGTGCCACTGTACTCCAGCCTGGGCAACAGAGCAAGAACCTGTCTTTTATTTAAAAAAAAAAATATTGCATTTGTTGAAGAAAGGCTCAGTCT